TAAACATAATCCAGTTCCCCCATCATTAGCAAACAGGCAAACAAAAACCCCAACATTTCTGGACCAAACATCCTCCTCCAGCTACGTACGGCCTTGGCTCTGTCCTTCCCTTCACAGCCAGACTGCTTGAGCTGTACCCACCTTTTCACTTTCATCTCCTCAACTCAGTATCTCTTGCTCCAGACAGCCTCCAGACTGTTGAAATAGCTCTCACCAATGTCATTAGCAACCGCCTTTTCAAACACAACATGAACTCCACCATGCTCATACCACTTCTCAGTAGCATTTTTCCATTTACTTTGTTACCACTCTGGGATTCTGGACATCTTCTCTTTCATTGGCCTAGGAGATGCCACATTCCATGACTGTTATCTCCAGTCCTCAGACCTAACTTTCTCCTCTACTTGGCTCTAGATATGAGGTCTCATGACTCCTTCCTTAAAAGCCCTCTTCTCTACTCACCTGCATATAACTCATGGTCCTATAGTCATCTACCTCCTGACTCATCATCAACCAGTGGAATCTCATTCCCTTACTGCGAGATCCATAACTTACTAGGTATCTGGGGAAGTAGAACTCCTTCCATGCCACCTCCCTTATTCTCTACTTCTTTAATGGCAGTCTTCCGTTGTTGTATCTATTCAATGACCGAGATAGCCAATCACAAGGCTCCTGCTTTTTTCATCATTGTTTCCCAGCCAACAAACCATAGAACCTAACTTTTAAATAAATACTTTCCCATAGTCTCTCACAGTTAGGCCACCACCAGCTCTTAGAAGTAATCTTTGACAGCAACAGTGACCTTTGTAAAGGCCAGCCTGATCACTACCACTCCTGATTAAAATTCTTCAATGGCTCTCCATTGTTCTTAGAGAAAGTCCAAACTCCACATGCAGACAGAGATTTCTTAAAAGCTGACCCAGGTTTTCCTCTTATCTCTCAGATTCCTCTCTCTCGCTTGACCATTCCCAACCAAAGCCTGGCCATACTGAAGAGCTTTCCTCCCCCTACCCAAGACCTCCAACTTTCTGCATATGCTCCTTCCTTTACTAACCAAGCTCCCTCTTCTCCCCACAGCTCAAGGTCCTCAGTTCCTTCCTGGCAAATTGTAATTATCCTTTAGGGTTTTTCCTAACAATGACTTTCTCTGAAAATCCTACTTGATAGCATTCCCCATCCCACTCTCAACACAGCCTGTACAAAGTAAAGCGTCTGTGTGTTCCCACAGTGTCCCGCCTTTTTTCCATTACGTATGTGGAGAGACCATACACCAGAGACAGCAGCACTTGCTTCCTAAATTCCAAGCCCTGCTTCACCACATGTGCATTTTATGGGAGAAGGATGGGCACTCTCCTCCCGTGTGATTAACTGCCTATGAAAACCAGCTTTGAGTATGTTCTGACTTGACAGCACACAACAACAACAAACAACATGCACGCTATTATTCTTACTCTATCTTACACTGCCTTGTATTTGTCTAGGCTGCAAGTGTAGGCAGGGTATATGTCACAAGGAGTCTTGTTCTCTCATATTGCCAACAAGTCGGAATCTACTCAGTGACCTACCAGCAGGTTTTCAGGGACTTTCAATCACACAGGAGGAGACCATCCATCTTTGTCCTGCAGAGTGACTGGTGGATTCAAATAACCTGACTTTGGGTTGACAGCACAACTCATTACCCACTAGGCCAGCAGAGCTCTCTTCAGGGTTAAGCACTGTATGAATGTTTGCTGAATGGACAGCAACTTCCCTGTGTTCTAGCCATTGTTCCTCACAGCCTCACAGTGGTGCCATCCCTAACGAACAATTCCAGTGGGAACTCTTAATTATTAATTACTATCAATGCCAGCAGGAGATCTTCCCTATTTTCTAACTTAGAAAACTGAAAAAAGATAAATAATGACTGATAAACAAATGAAAAGATGTTCAATATTAGATATTTATATTAAAATTTAAAAAAAAAACAACCAACCTAACAAAACTACTGAGAATAGAACTGCCCAGAGTTTCCAAAGTTATACATCTTGAAGAAAGTAGGCTGATCTTTCTCCCTAAGAGCACAAAGTGGCTGGCAGGTTCAAACTGCTGGCCATATGGTTATCTGCTAAATTCTTTACTCACTACTCATCAAAACCACAATGAAATACCACTCCACTCCCCTAGGATAGCTGTTATTAAAAGAGATAATAATGACAGTTAGTCAGAGAGGTGAAGAAACTAGAAGCCACATAGGTTCGAATGAGAATGGAGAGTATACTGCCACTGTGGACAAGAGTCTGGTAAATCCTCACAAGGTTAAACCAAGTTTTACCACGTAGCCCTATAATTCCACTTCTAAATACATATGAGGAGGAGGGAGAGGAGAGCCATCCAATCAGAACTGACACATAGCTGACCCTCCAGAAGATATTCAGAGGCCGTAAATCACTTGGAAGGAGACTACCCGTCTTTCTCTTGCAGAGTAACGGGGAGATCTGAACGGCGATCTGAATGGCATACCTTGGGCTGGCAGAGCAATTCCTTACCACTAGGCCACCAGAGCTCCACCCTAGATATATATACACACAAAAAAGAAAACATTTGTTTACACAAAAATTTGCACATAAATGTTTATAACATCATTATTCATAACTGCCAAAAAATGGAAGTGACTCAAATATCCACAAACTGATGGGTGGATAAATAAAAGATGGTTCTTTTCATATAATTCTGCAATACAAATATTATTCTGCAATACAAAAAAACAAAGTGCTGATATATACTACAACACAAATGGACCTTGAAAACACTATGCCAAGTGGAAGCAGCACATATTTGTACGATACTGTTTATATGAAATATGCAGAACAGGAAAATCCTAGAGACAGAAAGCAGATTAGTGATGGTCTAGACTTGGAGGGCATGGAATGGGCTTCTGGTGGCATACTATGTAGAGGAGTATCCCCTAATCTAAAGGCTGAGTGTCTCCAGCAGTTCAAATCCACTAACTGCTTCCTGAGAGAAAGATGGGGAGTCTCCTCCCACTAAGATTTTCAGCCTCAGAAACACAATGGAGAGTTGCCATGAGTAGAAATTGACTCTAGACAGTGAGCTTTGAAGCCTGAGGGGAGAAATGTGGAGCATGACTGCCAATTAGTTTGGTGTTTTTTTACGGGGATGATGACATTGTTCTGGAATCAGATTGTGGTGATGGCTGCATAACTCTGTAAATTGACAAAAAATATGAAATGTCATACTTTTAATAGATAAACTGTATGGCATGTAAAGTATGTATCAACAAAAGAAACAACTATAACCTAAAGTTGCTGTTAGGTATCTTTGAGTATGACTCATAATGACCCTACGAACAACAGATCTGAATCCTGTGCCACCCTCACAATCTCTGACATACTCAAGCCCATTGCTACAGTCACTGTGTCAATCCATCTGGATGAGGTGAAGACAGACCTTCAACCAGATGGACTGACACAGTGAAAACAAGAACAACCATCTCTAATTACTTGCTATATACCAGGCAGTATATGCTAAAGGACTTCTGTATCTTCATCCACTGACTAAAATTTCAGGGGGAAAAAAGGCAGGGAAGGTTAAGACTATTAAAGAAAAGGTAACTTCTTGAATGATCCTAACAAAGTCAGGCACACAGTAGAAGTTCAGTTACTCGCTCTCTTTCCCAAGAGAGCGATTCATGAAGAGATTTGCTGGCACATACCATGGACTGTAACAAAAATCTTAGGAGCAGAGAGGCCCGCGGCTAGAGGAAAAGGGGACTTGAATTGCTTTGAGGTATTAACTTGAAAGCTATACTGGAGAGAAGTTGGAGACAGATGCTGTGATCATGGGGTACGGTGAACAGAAGGCTGCACAGACCTGACGGGGAATCCCAATACAAAACCTGTCCACCTCTCATCTAAGGGCACTGCTCCCATGCACTGTAAGGTGTGAGTGGGTGGGCAAGGTAACCACATTATATTCACCCTGTGGACTTGACTGTCTAGGTTAGAATCTGCCTCCACTATTTACACACTTTTGTCACCCCTTAGGCCTCAGTTATCTTACTGCTAAAATAGAGACAAAGAAAGCACTACTTCATATGATTATTTTAAGAATTACATTAATTCATGACATAAAAAAAACACTTAGGGAACTGAGTGGTGCAAAGTGTTTTCAGCAAGACTCAGAAAACCTCATTGTCATTGGAGTCAAAACGAATAATAGCTGATCCTCCAGTGGATTTTCAGAGGCCATAAATCACAAGGGAAGAGACTGGCCATCTTTCTCCTGAGGAGCCGTTGGTGGGAAAAGAAACAAATAAATAAAAGAGCAGTTGGTGAATTCCAATTACCTGCCTTTGGGTTGGCAGCGCAACTTCCTCCCAGTAGGCCACCCAAGATCGCTAACTACTAACTGTAGTTAGTAGTTGGAATACAACCTTAGGTGCTGCGAAAGAAAGACCTGGCACCTTGCATCTGTGAAGCTCATCGGCAAGAAAATCCTACGGACTGTGTAGCGCATGAGCCTGAATTGACTGAACTGACACTGGGCAAAGCACTAAGAACTATACCGCTGAGCACGCTGTTGCTACCTTTACCTTCATCATCATCACTGTCATCAGTAAATGGGGGAGGAAACTTCACCTGCTCATGGGAGTTGGGCCTCGTGGCCATTTTACATAGTTTTCTTTCGAGTGTGAAAGGTACTTAGAGGGAAGTGGGGTTGTGATTTGTCATGATGTCCCTAGAAGCACTAGATCCTATTCAAGATTCCAGTGCCGGTCAGTGTCCGAAGGTGCACACCCACCAGGCCACTGCAGTTCATCCCAGGAAAGGATTTGGGAGTGGTGGCGAGGGTGGACATTCCTTGGGGGATGAGGGAGAGTTAGGTGTCCTGGGGCAGACAGGCAGGAGAATCACCGGGAGTGAAAGGCCTATTTGAGTACTGGGAAGCTGGAGAGCGGGCTCTGCAGGCTTGAAGCGGGGCGGATGGGCAGGACACGGTACCTTGAGTCGAACTTCTGGCCGTCGGGGAAAGTTCCCACGTAGTGGTAGCGCACGAAGTCGCCACTGTGCACCGTACGCGGGCACTCGTCGGGCACGAAGCGCCGCTCGATATGCAGCTCGGCGTTGGGGCCCAGGCCCAGGCCCGCCACGGGCGCCGCTTGACCGGTCACCCAGAGCAGCAGCAGGAGCAGCGGCGGGGGCTGCCAGCCCCGGACTCTGAACGCCATCGCGGGCAGGGAGGAGAGGAGCAGGGAACGGATGCAGGAGGGCGCGGAGAGACGGCGGACTGGGCCTGGGCGCGCGGCAGCCGCTGCAAACGTGGAAAAGGGG